CAACTGATGTTCCTGGTAGCTCAGCAATTGAAGTATCCAGCAAGTCAACGGTCGAAGCATCTATGAGCCCTAAGGTAGGCAAAGGAGGAGTAACCTTATAAACCTCTGAAGTAGGGAACTCTATTTCAGCTGCTGGTGAATCTAGGGCTAAAGCTCTAGTTACAATATCAGCAAAAAAAGGGGCAACAGCAGGAACGATAGAGGAAGTAACAGGGAGCCCAGCAGTAACACAACAGAGACATCTGAAAGAACAGGGGCATCACCTTCACCCTCCGTGTGGGCCACCTCCATTCCTTCCTCAGTAGGGACGTCAAAGTTGAAGTTCAGATCAAGATAAGTCTCTTCAGCTTTGTCCTATAAAGCAAGCCACCCGGAGGCGCACTTGGTAGTAACGTCATCCCTCAGTTTAGTAATCGCCTCGTCTTTCTTGGTTGCGGTAGATTTTGGCTCTTCAAGCTCACTAAAGAGGGTACCATTCGCCTCAGATAGAATGACGTACTCCTTTCTCAGGCTCTTGAGGGAGCTCTGGGCAGCAAAAACTTTCTGGCTGGCATTAACCCAGGCATCGATTTTAAGTTTTAGCTCCTCCCTAGCGATGTTTAGCTCATCCCTGGCTTTCTTTTCTCCTTCCTCAGCCTTATCTTTTGCAGTCTGTAAGCCCTTGAAGGTAGAAACCTGCCTCTCTATTTTCTCTTGAAGGTCTTGCACTTGAGCTCGGAGGTCATCATTGTCAAAAGACAATTCGGAGACCTTAATCTCATATGCCTTCATAGCTTTGACAGAGTTCTCTGAAGATCGGATCCTAATCATCAAGCTCTTCACATGGATAGCCGACAGAGGATAGAAAGCAAAACAAGTGAAGCTTAGCATGAAGTTACAACATAAGGATTAATGAGAGCACAAAAGTGCAGGGACTTACAACAGCTGCTCCTTGGAGAGCTAAGCTTATAGACGCCTCAAGAGACATGGAAGAGGCCCTTTGAATTTTAGAATTAGGGAGAATAGAGAAAAGGGCCCCAGCATCAAGTTTGGCATTGTCAAAGAAGGAACCTTTGTTTTTCTCTACTTTAGAATGCTCCCCCATCTTAGCTTTGGAGCTCCCAGAAAAGGGCAGGGGAGATTTCTCAAAATACCCAGGAAAATTGAGAGAGCTCAAAACACAGGTGGTCGTTTCCAAGGCCCTTTTGACCTCAGAAGAGGAAGGGGAAGTCTAACCTCGTCCAAGAACATCTGCAGGGACAAGCAAGGCACCTCGGGAAGAAGGATCATCTGTAATTGGAGAGGGGGAGGACGATTAAACAACTTTCAGATTAGTGAGAGCAGGAGGAGCCGTGGACATACTTGTCTTCGGTACTTTGGGTGGGAGACTGGACCCGCTGCCAGAACTAGGCCCAGTCCTACACTTGATACCACTCTTAATCGTCCTTAATTGGGAAATTTTAGCTTAAAGCTCTACTAGAGAATTGATAGAGAAAGCATCACCTGCTACCTCCTCAACTCTAACAATGGAGATTGGGGTCGGGGCTTCTATTGTTACCTCTGGAAGACTGAACCCATGCTCAACAAGAACCCAAGGCTTGATGAGCTCAGAATATTTTTCTGAGTCACACTTGTCCAATTTCAACAGCACCCGCTCGTCCTCGGCACTAAGCTCAGGTCGAACACCTAAGAAATAACGTAAAGCAAAGCAAAGTAGGTAAAGGTCACCAAATCCGATCTTAGTCAGCTTGAGCAAGGACTTACTTAGGTTATCAGGGGCAGACCAGGCTCTAAGGATTGGAAGAGTGTTTGTCTTATCTGCCAGATTGTACTCCCACTGTACGCCCCACACATAGAAGAAAAAGTTTTTTTCAGCCCTTGTGGGAGCTCGGGAGGTCAGAGATAATTTGCTTGGCCTTTGTTCATTTGGAGATATACAAAAAACCCTCGTAGGAAGTATGCTTAACATTGAAAAGTTCCATGAGTATGGAAATGGTGGGAACCCCAAGCTTATGATTCTTAACGAAAATGAGGAAACTCACCAGGACAACCCAGAAGTTAGGAGAGAGCTGGACAGGGCAAACGTTGAAAATGTTGTAGAACACTCTTGACGAAAGGGTGTAAGGGAAAGCGCATACCGTTCTCAAAGGCAGCCACAAAGAAGCAAACTTTTTTATGAACCTGGGCGACATAGGGGGTGAATTTGTCTGGACAGCAGAACTGGACTCCTGGAGAAAAACCAAAGCAAGCACTAAAAACCCTCATAAGACAAGGGTGACCTCACTAGGGCCTACGAGCTCTGTATTTTTTAGAGCAATCCTAATGCCCGCGGCAGAGACTCCAACGCCACTCACCTTGCCATTACCTTTGTTAGGATTTGTGGGCACAGGAGGACGTTGAGAGAGGTTCCTCAGTATTTACCTTAGCATCGATAGAATCAACGCCTGGGAAACTGTCAATTTCTTCTCCCACATCGCCTAAATCAGTATCGTCCTTAGTCGACCTATCCCCCAAGAGGGAGACAGAGGAGGGGGTAGCTCCAAAAGAAGCAGACATAGTTGGGTAAGAAAAATGGAGTCTAAAGGTACGATAAAGGGGAGAAATATTAGCAAAACACTCTCTAAGAGTCTGGGGGGGCTACACAACAATTGCCAATAAGGGAAACCCTAATAGTTGAATAAGGGTCTAAGAAGAAGGGAATACGAGACAGAGATTGACCTCGGTTTCTAAAATAACATAATCAAAAGTCCAAAAATACAGAAATCACCTCAAACTTGGGGGGTCCAGAGCGAGGAGATGAACAAAGGACATGAAGCGTACCTAAGTGAGGATGAACAGTGGGCCAAGTCTTAAAATGAAAGCGAGGAGCGAACTTCGTTGAAGCCACAAGCTGAATTAGGGGAGACCAATTTTCTGCGAAACCCTAAGAGCGCTGATGGGATCAGAAGCTTAAGATTGCAGGAAAAGGAAAGAGTAAAGTTTAAAGAGGGGATTTGGAGAGAGAAGCGAGTCGTCTCCCCTCAGCACAGAGACATTTAAAGCTTTCGATACGTTGGTCTTGAAAGTGGAGAATGTGCACGAGAATCAAGGAGGATATGATTGCTGGAACCGTCAAAAAGAAACCCTCTAAATGCGTAAACCGAGGTTGTCGTGTGGCCCAGACCAGTCAAGTGTAGTTCAACCCTTGCCCAAGCCAGCTTGACTAAGAGCTGGGGGGCAACTAATGATACCCAGAATAATTTTCAAGTATGAACTCGGGCATGGAGGTCAGACAATGAGGTCAGGCAAGATACGTAGAGCTTAGAGAACCAGAGCTAAAACTCCCCCCAGACGAGGCAATAGCAGAGATGATAAGAGAACAGTTGGATGTTAACAGGAACCCTACAGGTGGCAAAGAGTCATATGCAAGGCAAAAAACCCTTAACTAACCAAGATACTCTCCAAAAATCAAGGAGAAATCCACAGATGAAAGGCTAGGATCTCGGCAGAGATCCCACAAAATAAGGAGCAGCTCTATAAATACTGTATAACTCCTCTATTGAAGGGAGAGAGAGAAAGAAAAAGAAAAGAAAACCTTAGTTGTGTGAAAGAGCACATTGTAAGTTCCATTCCCCACCATTAAAACGTGAAGAGCAAGAGTCTTCATTAAAGAGTGGACTAGCCGAGCTCTCGAACCGGTGAACCACTATAATTTTATTGTGTGAATCACCCCATACCCCCAGCAATACTTCTCACGATCCTCACGAGCCTTGTAGCTCAGATCCGAGCTGCCAAGCATAAATCCTACCTTCTACTCATTCAAATCAATTCTCACTATCAATTATGAACCCAGTCACCTAGCTCTGCAATCTCACTTTTATTATGAACCCAGTCACCATTATTATTTTTAATCCACCTAATCTTGTTTCTAACAAAATTACTCTTGGCCAAGGCATTATAAAACTTGGTATTCTTTTCTCCTTCCATTACCCATTTCACATTAGCCTTTCGTTTTCAATATATCTCTTCTAACCTCAAAATATTACATAGTCCTTCTTAGCCTCCTCCAAAGATGATAGATTTTCAAAAGAAGCATCCTGCTACACCAGCACCTTAGCATTCTGCAAATCATTCTCCTTTTGCTCTTAGTTTGTCAAAGATGTTACCAAACACCCCTTTATTCCAAACTTTCAAATGTCAGTTCAAATATTTCTACTTCAAAAAAGAAATTCTCAATAGGATTTATTGAATAAAAGCCTCCCCATTTTGAATAAACAAATGCCAATAAAGAGGGATGCTCAACCCACATATCTTGAAATCTAAAATAAGAAATCTTCTTCTGTCTAGGAGCATTCAAAACCTAGACCAACCAAGGACAATGATCAAATGTGCCCTGCCCCTAGCCAAATAAGCCATCTCAGAGCTTTCAAATTTTTAATTCCACTCAGGATTCCCAAAAACTCTATCCAACCTCTGCCACATTCTTGAATTACCTTGATGATTATTACATCAAGTAAATCTACTTCTAGAAAAACTACAACCAATTAAATCAAAGCCATCAATGAAATCCTTAAACTCCCCCATAGCAAGAAAGGAAGGAGAAGCACCTCCTAACATTTCTGCAGAATTCAAAATAGCATTAAAATCCTCTAGTACCATCCTATGTACAAAATTTGGAATAATGAAATCCAATAAATGCTGTCATAAAGGCCTTCTAAGTATATGGTCACAATTAGTATACACAATAGAGATCCAAAACACTTCTGACCCCCAAAAAGATGTCTCAACTATCAAAACCTGCTCATGACACTTTATTACCCTCACACTCATTCTCTTACCCCACAAAACCTAAATATACATTAATACTAGCTCATTGAGCAATATAAACCAAGTCTGAGAATTCTAGAAAAAATTGGAAGCTTAGAAGCACTCATCTTTGGCTCTTGACTTGTAACAAAAGTCACATCATTTGTTTTAATGAATTTCTTTAATCTCCTTCTTTGGACAACCTTGCCTGCCCCCTCGTATTCCAAGAAAGTAAATTAAACATGAGAGTTAGGCACCGAGTTACCTCTAGAATCAACTCTAGTTATAGAACGTGGAGAAATCACTACATTAAGAGGAATATTTGAAGGCTCCTCCATTTCAGAATCCTCTATATCAACCATAATCCTCTTAGAGTTTCTCAAACTCTCATTATTAGAACGATAACCTTTATCAGGAGGAACTTTTATGGTCATCAATCCCTTATCATCATCCAAAGAAAATTCACTTCTACCCCTATTAACAAATTGGTGATCAATCCAAAAGGTAGACTCCAAAGATTGAGGCCACTATTTATTCAAAGAAATAACTATAGGAGTCTCCATCCTTTCAGTGACTAGGGTATTCACCACATCCACCACATCTTGGACCCCTTTAGTTCCTTGACTCACCTGTTCTACCTCCTTCCCAAAAACCTTAACATTTTCTAAAACAACAACCTTTATATCCTTCTTAATCTAGCCATTCACCTTTTGAATAGTCTTTCCAGGTGTTCACACCAATCAACAACAGAAGCCTTTACTGGACCAGACATCATGTCTTTACTAGAATGATCCCCTTTATCCAACACTAATCCTTTCTCTTTTTGAACAAATACTATATTCCCTCCCTTATTACTCTTCAACACTTTAGATGGAAAACCATCTGATTTTTTCTTCCCCTCCTTATTTTTTGCATCACCCTTTTCCCTTTCACAAATTTTCAATTGTTCTTATCATCCTTCCCCTTGTTTGTTTTCCTACCCTTCTCTTGGTCTTTCTCAGTCAAAGAAATAACCATCTCTCCTTCGTTTGACTTGCCATCTTCTGTCTTTTTCTTCCTACAAATCAAATCATCATATCTCTAATTCAAAAAACTTGAACAGTATTTGCATTCCTTCTCATATAGAATCCTTTGTCATCTCCCACACAACCCCCCATATCCAACCAAAACTGCTTAGGATTATCAGTTAGCAAATTCACCTCAACACAGGCTCTTGTAACTCCTGGCCTTTTCAACTATAGAAAAGGGGTATCACTAACAAGAATACATCCAATTGGACTCAATATGTCCCTCTGACTATCATGATTAAACAAATGAATTCAAAAACTAGGAAAAGAGATCTAAATAGGCACCACAAGAGGTTCCATTCCTGGCTGGAATTTAGGAAACCATTTGAAGAATCGAAACAGATACCCTTCGATGTATGTCGCATCCTTGAGCCAAGTCTTAACATAAACTTCGTACAGACTAAACCTGAGGAGGACATGCCTGGGATCAAGAATCTCCAATGTAAAGTGACAAATTCCTTTATCACAGCAAGAGAAGGCTTTCGAGAAGCATAGTTACCTATCAAAGTCTAATGAAATTGCTCCGAAAGTTCCTGAGTTTCATCTTGAGTTCAATACATTCCATGTTCACCATTGTTGTAGACCACACGGTTTGGGTTGAGCGCTAGGAGGTACATGAGGCATAGAATGAACTTTTACTTCACCTTGCAGAATTGCAGAAGGTTCCAAAGTTTCAATAGTTTCTTGAACTATCGCAGAAAAGTTTGAAGAAATCAAAAGGTTCAAAGAATTCTTGAAGAGAAATGCAAAATTCTTGATGATGTCAGGTGGTTTTGGAGGTATCTGTCGCTGAAGTTGATCAGAAATCATGATGAATGCAAGAAATTTGAAGCAAATCAAAGAACCGTGTAGAGAGAAGTGAGATTTTCTCTCTCTAAAATAGAAATAACTGACCCCTAGTGTTAAGTTTTTTCAGAGTTTACATACATACATACATACAAAAATAAGTGAGTCTAATAAAATTCTGAAATCACATTCAAGCTCTTAAGTTATATTAGAGTTTGCATGAATGAAATTTAATTTGTTTTTGAGTAAAATTTTAAATTTTATTGTTTAATAGACAGATGATAAACATATAATTTTGACAAACTGAGATGACTATTTGAATAAGTTACACATATGTTTTTTATTCTTTTTATAAATTTATCAGTTTTTGTAAATTTTTTCACATACAACGCACATTGTGTAGTGCTAGTAGGACTAAAATTGTATATATGGAATGCAGCTTTATTAAAAGGAAGAATTGAATCCGAGAAGTAGTACAAATTGAAGAACATGAGACAACACATAAGGAATACTTTTGATAGTTAAGGTCAATTTATCCATAAGGAATGTGAGATTAGTGATGATAATACTCATAGAAGTGTAAATCAACATGGATGAACAAAAGGTACAGGTGACGTGTGATGAGCGTGGATCAAAGCTACAAGGCTTGTGTGTGATGCTGCACTGAAATACTGAGGGGATTAAATTGGTGTACACAGTGAAAATATAGTGGTTCATCGGCTCAGGAGCTCGGCTAGTCCACTCTTCAATGGAGGCTCTTGTTCATTTTATTCTCTATTGATTAGTTGAATGTAATACAAGACAGTGCACAATTCGATTAGGATTTTTTTTCTTCCTGCCTCTCGATGAGGCGTTGCATAGTATTTAAAAGGCTGCCCCCTATTCCATGGGATTTCGGTCGAGATCTTGGCCCATTATTCATGGGATCCTCCTTTATTTTAGGAGAGAATCTTAGTTGGTTGAGAATTTCATGCTTGGGACCCAATTTTTGTAGTCATCCAGCGGTCGGTTCAGCTACGATCTCCCCAAGGGGTGCTCCACCCCTGGTTCTCTAAGTTTCTTGTGTCTTTCCTAACCTCCTGACCCGACCTCCTGACCTAAGCTCACAGCTAAGGCTTGTTTGAGGTATCATCAATTGCCTCCCAGCCCCTGGTTCAAGCGGGCTTGGGCAGGGGTTGAGCTATTTTTTAAACTGAGTAGGATCTGCACGTGGCTAACCTTGGCCCGCACGTGAGTTAGGCCTTTTTGGCGGCTTTCAGCAATCATGGCTTCCTTGTTTCCCGCACACGTTTCAGTCCACTTCTCTCAGGCTTTTAATGCTCAAACGGTTATCTGAACCACCCTATTCCACTGTTCAACTTCTTTGGTGTTTTTCTCTTCTTGCGATTTCTTGGCTTTCTAGTTTGGAATTCTCTGATTCCTCGTTCAAGATCGAGTTCTGTGGGTTTGATTTGAAGATTTACATTGCCCTCTTTCTTCCATTTCACTCTAGGCTGTTGTTCGTTACTCTTTCCCCCCCTAAGCACGCCCTTCTGCCCCTTTTTCGTCTTTCCTCGTTCTGGATCCCTCGAATTCGAGGTGGCCATTGCATTTCTGGGCCTTTTAGTTCTTTTACTTTTGGAATCGAAATTACTGCTTGTCTCCTCTCTCCCACTTCATGGACTGGTCTTCTATCGTGCGAATCCTTGCTGTTGGAAGCTACTACGCTGACCCTAGGGTTATTAGGGAGTGCTTAATCAGTATTTCTCCTCTCTACCGTTCTTTCAATTTACCCTTTTCCTGTCCAGTCATGTATACTCCTTCCAGAGTTACACGCTCCTCTACTTCTCTCTTAGGGGAAAGGTCTGCCGAAGAGGACACTGATTTAGGGGATGTAGGCGAGGAAATCGACAACTTCCCCGGTGCAGATGCTGTCAATGCCAAGGAAAATAATGAGGAACCATCGCCATCGTCTTCTTCTGTGCCCCCTAATCCTAACAAAGGTAAGGGCAAGGTGAGTGGAATAGGAGTCTCTGACAGCATAGCGGGCATGGGGGCCGCCTTTAGGCATGCTGAGCTCGTAGGACCTAGTGAGGTTGACCCTTCTCATGTAAGAATTCTCAATGCTCGTTACATTTTTTCTCCTGGTGTCTAGATAAATACACCCCATACGTTGCCCGAGTTCACAAGAGGGTATCTTTCTTTGCGGCCACTTTTGAGAATGACCTTCGCTTCCCTATGCATCCCTTCATCAAGAGTGTTTTGTAACACTTCAATGTTTGCCCTACTCAGCTCTCCCCTAATTTTTGGGGTGTACTTGTGGGTTTTCTTGTTTTCTTCAAGATTCATGGACTCGGGATCCCCAGCCTTTCCTTGCTTGTGGATCTGTTTAATGTCAAGCTCACCTCATCAGAGGGTTTCTTATATATCTCCAAGCGAACCACGGCTAAGCAAATCATTACTCATCTCCCATAAGGGTTGGAAGAAACAATTCTTTTTTGTTGGGGGCACCAACTGGGAGTACAACCCTGCTAACAGGACTGATACTCTAGGTATCCCTAGAACTTGGTCTGCCCCTGATAACTTAGATGAGCTCTTGCTCGAACTGATTGAGCTCTGGTTTGGGAATCGTTGAGTCACCTTTTTGACATTTGCTCTCCTTGTGTTGCTTTTCAAGCATTCGACCAGAGCTCAGTGCTAAGGACAAGAGGTAAAGCGAAAGTTGGAGAAGTGCAATCTAGAGAAGTACTCCGAGCTCATCAAGCCCTGGATCTTGGTAACACAGGAATTCAGCCCTCTTGAGGTATCGATAGAAGCTTCGCTCCCTATCTCAGTTATTAGGCCTAAAAACATAGAAGGTAACACTTTCTGAGTTGGTTCCCTTGTCTTTTCTTCTTTTTCCTCTCTCCTATCTAACTTGCTCGGTCCAGATCTTCCAGGCTCCTCCATAATGAAATCTACCCCTGAGGAACTCCAGGCCAAAGTTGACCTACTGAAGAAGAGTAGGAAAAGTGGCAAACGAAAGGCCGATACCAGCTCTAGAGGCAGCCCCGTTGACAGAGCTAAAGTGTAGAAGCTGGGAGTGCCCTCTTCTTCTGCCTTGAGCAAGGGAGGACAAACCCCCTCATCTCAATCCCTAGCCCCTTCTCCTTTTCAAGGGGCCCAGTTTGCCCCCCAAAAGACTTTTAAGCCAAGACTGGCTTCCCCCACCTCTTCTGAGGTTAAAGGAGCATTGGGGCTGATTACTGGAATCAGGCCAAATTTTGCACCCCCCAGACCGCCTAAGCAACCATCCCAGCTGCCTCTCCGGAGTCCCAAAGTTGAAAGGAGGGAAGGCCAGGAGACTAATGAAGATTCTTTCTTCGGCAATGCTGAGTTGGCTGCTGGGGCCATTTCATTCATTCTCCCTGAATCCGATATTCAGAGGGCCTCTACCATACCTCCTAAGGCCTTTTTCTGCTCAGTTCTCCAGGGAGCAGCCACTATAAGTATTTTCACACTTGTTCTTAGCTTGGCGCGGTTGAATTGTGCTGATTTATGTCTATTTCCTTTTCTTTTTTTTGTTCACAGATGGCTCTTCACTTGAAGAACTTGATAGGCAGGGTCCAATCTTCAAAGGACTTTGCCAAAGTTTTGAAGACATACAAATTTAAGGTCCCTGAGCTGACCTTTGACAATGAGAGCCTCAGAGCTCAAGTGCAAAAGCTCAAGGAGTAAATGGAGAAACAGGCCTCTAACTACGAAGGCCTTCAAGCTGCTAAGGATAGGGCTAAGGAAAGAGAGAAGAAGGTCAAAGATGAGCTGACGATGACCAGGGAAGAGCTACTTC